GATGAGGTGTTAGTCTCCTGTTTTATCAAACAGTCTTGAACTGTATTCTAGATTCTGAAAGTAGCATTCATTTGTTTTATGAGCAGACTTGAACTGTATTTTAGATTCTGAAAGTGGCATTCACTTGGTCAAAGAAAGTCTGTATACCAGTTATAAGGGGTCCACAAAAAAAAATAAAATAAAAAACTGTTGTGTGCAAATGTGCTTAAATACCTAATGTCAGTGGAGGGAATGTAGACCCAGTCAAAATTGAAGGAATCTGTAGATTGCAGAAAGATTAGTTAAAAATCTCTGATGAACTATCCAAATGCATGGAATTGAATGTCTCTCTTTTTCATGGTCCGCAGACTCCAAGTGGTTTCCTGGTCTTCACCTTTATTGAGAAAACTTTTATTAGGGCAAATTAAAAGTAGGTTTAGCATGGTTATGGGTTATGCTTTATGTGCAGCCTGTGTGTGTTGAGGATGTCTCTACAGGATTGCAAGTATTAGAGACAAATTTAAGGAAAAAACAAAACAAAACAAAAACAAAAAAGAAAAAAAGGGGGCAAACAGTCCTGCCTTGCTCAGATTAATCGAACAGTGGCATCAAACAAAAGAAAAAATCTACAGTTGTGCACTATATTATGAAATGTAGAGTAAAGCATTTCCCATTATTGTTTAAGAGGCTTTGAGCCAGATTCAATAATTAATCTTTACACCTCAGCCTAAGTGTGTCTGTTGTCAGCTTTTCTTTCAATACAGAGAGCTGCTGGTGTTCCCCATGGCCAGACTGTAACACTGCTCTTGACACTTCTGCTTGCTTGGGCTGGCAGTTCAGCTTGCAGGTGTATCCAGTTGTTGGCTCTCTAGCCAAGCACCGTTTTTCTCACCTTATACTCTGTCATCTGCTTAGAAGCAAGGAGAGTTTCTCTGAACTTTAGAAGGTGGGGTCACAGATCTGTGCACCAGAAATGCGAAGGTGTGCACGTGACTCAGTTTTATGTGAAGACATTTTCTGCCCTTGTTATGATGTAGACCAGAGGAATGACACTGAATCCCTGCGCAAGAGTGAGCAGTGTAAGGTAAAGATTATGTGTTACACCATAACAGTGAGCAGGGTTATACACATACTATTTTAATAAATAGTTCAATAGCACAGTAAGGAAACCATCAATTTCCTACTCTTAAGGTACTGGAAAAACTTTCTTGTTGAATGCAGCACATTGCTTGTGGTTGGAGAAATAAGCAATCTGACTGTCCATAGCCCAGATGTGGCGCCAGTGACAAAAACAAAGGTGAAAGATAAATCAGAGTGGAAAACAGCAAAAAACAGAGCAGAAATGTTTTCCTCCAGTTTAAGCAAGGTTTCATGTGTCTACTGCTTCATACTCTGAACTTCAGTATAACAGAGAGATGAAAGATCACTGGAATCACCAGTGATACATTTCATCCAGTATTAAGATTCTTTGAAGTGTGAGACAGTGAAGGAAAACACTGGAATTTCATAATACCAGAAATATATGAAAGTCAATAATATTTCAGAAATGCTTATACCTGTCAAGTGGGTATATCTAGTGACTTTGGTGATTAGCTTTTATTCATGAGGTAAACCTAAAATCAACCATTTTTCTGCTATAGCCCTGTTATCATTCTTTCTTCTCAGAAATACTACATGAGAATTTAAAGCAGTGCCTAGTACTTCCTTTGGAAGCTGGGTCTTGTCAAATATAGTGCTTTGGAAAGGTGAAATGAATGATACTGAAATGCAAAGGAGAAGATGAGTTACAGCAATTCCAGTGGAGTCTGGAATCTGTGGAATAATTTTTAGTTGAAACCAATTTTTTGAAACATGACTAGGCTGGTTTCTGTGACATAAGGGCAAGAACACCTCTCAGTTAAAAGTGTTTTGCTTTTTAATAGGGGTTAACCATAATTGTCCACTTTGTGCTGGTTGTTCAAAATAATTCCATCTCAGGTTGGTCGACTGTTGGCCTAATTTCAGTCGTTACCAGCATTCAACAGAAATGCTGCTTTAAGCTTGTCTTTCAGTGAATCACGTGTTTGTACAATAACACATTTGTTAAATGAATTCAAAGGCAGAAATAGATGAATCAGTACTGAGAGTGAGTCACTTTCTGGTCCGTATTGAACCATTTTTCTCTCTTTCTAAACTGTCCTATTTTAGTCAAAAGTACTATTTTCACAGGAAAGTAGAGCTCTAAAATGTGCACCAGTGTGATCTCAGCTTTTCTGTCACTGACTGTGCTTGTTTTTCTTTTCTTACAAGAAATTTCATAGCCCTTTCTTGTTTCAGCATTAGTTTTTGATGTGCTCATCAATTCTTTTGGCTATGTGAGCAAGCAATACTGATTTTGACTTGTACCATCTTATACTGCTGTAGTAAAGATGACAATGAAATATTTTCCAAATGTCAATAACATACTTTCTGTATGTTTTTTTCCTAAGTACATTTGCTAGTCTCTTTCTCATGCTGTTGTTCCTTAAAATTGCTTGCCTTTTTGTCCTTCCTGCTCTTAAATCCCTCAGTTACACTAGGTTGGTGGAAATTGTTTAAATGTACAACCCAAATTCTCCAGTGAGGTTTGGCTAACCAGTAAGCTATTCAAGTAGTTTTGTCTTCATCCTCTGCTTTTCCAGGTTGCTTGAATATCCTTGAGCCCTTAATTTGCCCTAATCTCCTCTAAGGCTTTGAAATAATGAAATACTTAAATAAAACTCTTTGGATAAATGCCCTTTAAAATACAGCTTTATCTGCGAACTATCATGTTCTCAAGGGAGTGGATTTTCTTCCTCAGACAATTTAAGGGGATTTTCTGTCCACAGTGTTACTGTCAGGCATACCCATCTTAAATCCTGCAACAGTTCAGAATAGAGCAAGTGAGGAAACTCTGGGGAAGAAATGGTACAGGGGCTAGACTCCTGCTGTGAGTGATTTTCTTTTTGTGCCTGGGTTCAGTCCCCTGATCTGCTGCATGATTTTTTGTCAGTCACAAAGCCTTCCTGTCCTTTTGAAAACCAATTCTCTGCTCAATGGGGGTGTTGCTGAGGATAAGTTAAGGGTGGCAAAGTGCCTAGCCATTACAGAGGGGTAGTCTTCTACACACTGAAAGGCTGTATTCCCTACTTGGCAAAATAGAAAGAGGGAGATCACCTGGCTTGCCATCACCAAATCCACAGGGGAAGCTGGAGGCAAAGCAGAGGACTGGATCCATTTTTGTTTGCCAGGGCCCCCATGGGGTCCATTTTTCATTGAGAAATCGTTTTTTCAGTCCTGGGTAGGGCAAATCTCAGAGTCCTGCAGATGCCTCCCAGGCGAGAAAGGGAAGCTAGGACAGCCTCACAGGGCTCCCACAGTGCAGCTCATCAGGGCACCCAGGCAAGCCCTGGAGACCAACAAGGTTTGGGGGTTGTTCAGAGCCATGGATGCCTGTCTTCACTGTTACTCATTGTGCAGGTAAAGGGAGATTACTTCAGTTTTTCTCCCTTCCCACTCAGCTCACCTAATTATTAATTTCTGTTGGCGAGGAGCTGCAAAATAACACTGACATGGGAAGCATGGAACATCTGTCCTCCACTTCTGGAGCTCTGTGGCTAGATTCCTTGGAGAAAGATTTGGGGTTTGTGTGTAATTTGTGAGTAATTTGCTTCTGAAGTTAATTATTCCTAAAAGTGAAAAATTGCTCAAAAATGTTGGGAAAAGAAAGCTTTCCTTTTTATCTTAGTATGCGACTAAAATATAAAAATTCTGGTAAAAGTCAACCATATGACTATTATTTTAAAGTGATACCTTTGAGATAATCTCTCCTTTTTCATGCAGACTCTCCAGAAAGACATCTGTATTTCCTCACATTAAATGATAGGAAATGGAAATAGACCACAGTTTTAAGTGGAAGATTATGGAGATTTATAACTTTCTTTATATATTTCTTATGTGTAATGAAATGCAGGAGAACTATACATAGCAAATCTTTTTTTTTTAATTTTTAATCCTAGATACTACTCTTGGTACTTTCTTTTTTTTTTTCCCCTTGAAATTTTCCTCCTCATAATTTCAGTTTCTCATTTGAAGTTCAAAATTTTCTCTACCTGAGGTTTGCAATAATGAAGTAACATCAATGAAAACAGGACTTTAGCTGGATGTAGATCTTTTCTAGGGCATCTCATGATGCTTAGGACAGTGATTGCCTCCTGGTAGCTGTATGCCTTGCTTAATTCTGCGCTTGTTCAGAAGAAGCAGAGAGAGAAATTCATCTGAGCACTTACTGAGTTCACCTTCTCCCTAGTCCCAGCTTTTCAAGAGCTCAGAAGATAAAGTAATACCTTTGTTTTTATCTGTCTTTGTTTTTGGCTGGCATGTAGCAGTGTCAGATCTGATTAGGGTTTTTTTTTGGCAGCATGTTTCAGGGTGAGAAGCTCCTTCTTTTCACAGTGCCAACGATGATTCCAAACTCATCAGCCTTCCTGTCCTGGCATTGGAGGGATGAACAATTAGGTCGGGTTCAGTGTACTTTGTATTAAAACTAGAAAGAAGTGCATTGAAATCCACAATGAGAGTATTTATGGTAAAAATCCTACTTGAGTCTTAGAACAGACTTTTTGGCTTGTCATTGTAGAATAATTAATACATGTCTAATAAAATAGACAAGCATCCATTGCTGTCTCATTTTTCTTGTGAAGAATGCTTCTGCCATCACCAGAAACTCCAAGAAACTCCAAGTTACTGTTTTGAGGTTCATGATGGTTGAAAGAGATTCAGAGACTCCCTAATTGTGATACTGGATTTAGTGAATGTTGCGGAGATGATGTAGTCACTGCCATTTCACAGCAGCAGTGGAAAAACCCCAGGTATAATGAATCAGCTAGGATCTGAATACTCAAAAGGGCAAAACTTTCTTTTCAGTTTTGGGTGATGTTTGTATGTCTTTGCTGGGGAAGGGGACCACAGAGCAGTTTTCACATGGGAATATTCCTACAGCATTAATTTCTTTTTTTTCCTAGTTTTTGAGAGTGGACCAAGACAAAGACAGAGAATGCAGTCTGGACTGTGCAGGTTCCCCTCAGAAATCACTCTGTGCATCTGATGGAAGAACTTTTCTGTCCCGGTGTGAGTTTCAACGAGCAAAATGCAAAGACCCTCAGCTGGAAATAGCCTACCGAGGCAACTGCAAAGGTGAAAACATCGAAGTTTCCCTTGACCATAATCAAAACTAATAGACCCTAAAATAGTGTTTGAAATGTCTGTGAATTGAAAACCAGGAGTGCTGGACTTAAAGAGTTTTCTAAAAGCAAGTGGGTTGAAATCTGTTATTTCTATAACAATATTCTATCTAAAGATAAATTAATCTTGAGCCTTCATCAAAATTGTGACTCCCAAACCCTCTTATTTTTTCAGTAAGTCGCTATTGAGGAAATTGCATGGCCAGATCCTTATTAAGAAGGACCATATCACTGGCACATTCAGAGAAACTCTTACAATAGTTGTCTTGCAAGGTTTCCTCTCTAGTAAAATTTGGTATTTTGAGTTTAGCATGGTCAATTTAGGTCTTTTATTTCCTAACTGCGATCACATAGTGTGTCAAGGGTGGTGGTGGTAGCATGGGTTGAGTGAGAAAAAGCGAAAACCAAAAGAATGCATATGCATAGAGCCCTCACTGACTATTCCTGCCTGTATCATCCACTCCTTTACTTCTGATCTCTGTTTAGAGAATTTCAGTGACATGCAGCCCAACAAAATATTTGCAGTTAAATCTTTTAACTTTTAGAGCAGCATGGTGCTAGACAATGCAGTTCCTTACTGAAGTGTAGGGTGATTCCCAACACAGTGATCTTTCTAAAATGTAAGAATAGCCGTGGTCATAAAGATTTACTTTTTCCTCTGTCCTAAAGAGAATGGCAGGGAGTGCAGGTAGGGGGTGGGAGGAAGAAAACCCCAGGGACCACACCAATTCAGCCTGTAGGAGGCAATTTTCTACATCATCTCTCCCCATTAGCTCCTGCAAACCTCTGAAGCATCAAGACTGCTTCAAAGAGACATTCTGTCTCATCTTCTACCTGGATGAAACAGTACCCTCATTCTTCAGCCCTTTCATAGTAAACCATTGTACTATGCGATGGATCTATTTACTGTGGTGAGCAAGGTTAACATAATGGAGCTACCTGAGCCAAGGCTTTTGTTACACTCATGAACGACAGAGACAAATATTGTGCACTTGGTATTTGTTCATTTTATACATTAGACCTTTATGGAAATTAGTTTTGAGTGGTTTTCTTTATTGTTTTTTATACTGTACTGAGAAAGTAATCTGCAAGAAATTTTCTTCATTAAGATGAGAATTGCTTTACTGAAGGTTTCCTCATTGATGCTGTCACATTTTTCTGCAGTCAATAGCAGCAATTTGGAGAAGTACTCATTTGTTGTTTATCTATTAATGCATACAGTAGAACTGTAGAATTGGAATTAGACACTTTAGGCACCTTAAATATTGCTGATAGCAGGTACACATCGTGTTCTCTTCAATCAAGTGTTCTTCCTTCGACTGGTAATAGACAGATATTTGCCAATAATGCATTTAGTCACTATCAGCAAGAGATGAGTGCTCTTTTGATTTTATATTTTCACGGTATTTCTTAATCAGTAAAGCAGTAAATTTTGAAGTGACCAGTGTCTTTATTCCTACTTATGTCTGTGATCATCAGAAATATTTCAAGCTGTAAAAGCAAGTTGTAAAGAAGAAGAATATGACTCATTTGCCTAGCTGCTGTTTCAGTTTTAGCATTGCTAGGGCTATTTCTGGTAGTCATATCAAACATTCAGAGAGAGCCAAGGAAATGCTCTGATTAAGACTTTTTGAGCCAGTTGCTTTTGATTGGTAAAATTTGTTGTTGCAGGTGGTGCTTGATCAAAAAGCAGAGGGTTGTTTTAGTAGGGCTAACCAAAAAGTGATGTTTCATTAGAGAGCCAGTTTCAATGTTTCAGAATTTACTTTCATTCCATGTAGGAATGAAAACAGATACTTCTGGAAGTGTTTGTCTGTATTCCTGAAAAAACAGACATCCACCCTAACTTCCCATTAAAGCATTGGTTTTGAAACAAGTTTTGAGCTTGCAGGTAAAAGGGAAAGAAACATGCATGTTTTCATGTGAATGTTCTGGAGGGAGAAAAGAGGTGATTCCTAGTATAGACTTCACAACTTTAAGTCTGTGGTGTGATAATCTTCCACCATTGGTCAAAAACGGCAATCTTAAGTCTGTCTCCTCCTGTCTTCCAAAAAAATTCCTTATTCACCTCACAAAAATCTTCTCTAAAAACAAAATATTTCCAAGTACCATTTGAATTAATTTAAGGATGACTAGCTCTTTGTTTGGTTCAGTCTATTCAGTAGCAATCTAAAGACTTTGACAGTTTGTGTTGACAGCCTTTTGGAATAATTTTGAATCCATCATTTCTTGTTTAGATATTCAGAACTGTGATTTCTTTTTACATCCATAAGGAATTTTGAATGACTATCAGATTGATGTCTGCTTTCTCTGTTTCTTTTTTCCTTCAAAAGGCAAACTTATATTGACTCTTTTTTCTCTTTTTCACCTGTTCTCAACTTTTTTCACATCTATTTGGTTCTGAACACTTAAATACTAAAAAGCACAAAGGGATAGTTTGCTCTGTGTGTGCTGGTTCCCTTTCTAATTGAAGTTCCATTCACAGCAAGAGTGCTCAGCCCAGGCAATTCTTTGGCATTGCAAAGGAAATAATTTTTAGATCCTAGATCTTAAAAGATCACAGAAAATGGCATCATTTAAACAATTTTTTCCTTTGTATTTCTGTTCTAGTTCCTGATAGTTGCAACAGAGATCAAAACAGTTTATACAAAGCTGAGAATAAATGAACCCTGAACCTTCCTCTCATTTCTGAAAGACAACCCACCTTTATCAAAACAAGCATCAAAACAGACTGTTCTGTTTTTTTTCTGAAGGCATTAATTTTATGATTTTTTATTTTAAGTCCATTTTCAGCCCTTGCTGGAATCCATTGCTAAGCTTGGAAATGCTATAAGAAGTTAAAATCTTAAAAAGTTTCCAGCCTATTTTTGGAGTTTCTAAGATATCAAATAATCTCTGTACACTGTAGATGAACATTCACATTTTTGGAGACTTTTCCAAACAAAATCTTAATTCCAAAGTTCTGGAGATTTGCCACTTGCTCGACACAGAAATTAACTGTGCAATGAGATTACCAATCTAATTAATAAATGTATGTTGACAGGTGAGAAATACTACTTGTGTTGTTTAACAGTTAGGAACGACTGTTAAAATATCACCTGTGATGGGGATCAACCGCATGCACACACAAATGCTTCACAGTAAATCTGGCCCAGCATAGCCAAAGGAACAAAACATACAAGAAGTGGAAAAGCAATATAATTGCTTTTTAACTCCTCAGAAAGAAACAGATACTATGTCTGCAGAAATTAATTAAGCAATGCAAGGAGACAGTGTGAGCACCAGGCAGGTAAGATGATAAATTCTGCCTGTTGTGCTTTGGGCACTGGCCAGCTGTGCTCTCCTGGGGACTGTATCTGTGTGGCTCAGGGAAAAGATGGGCCAAGGACTGTTCCCAGCAGGCAGCCTTATTTTATAGGTTTAAGGCTGTTCAGCTTTTTTTTTTACTTTCTTTTTCTGTTGAACTTTTTGTTTCCTAAATAGCATTAAAAATACTAATTTCATTTCTCAGTTTATTTTATATGAATATACCTGGCCCATAACTGGGGCCCTGGAGATTAATATTCTTTATGTATTAAGCAAGTGGCTCTGTAATAATATTTGGTATTCTGGCATTGTGATAAATGAAAAAAACAAATTCATGTGTATCTTGCCAGCATACCTCTACCCTGAGACAGAATTCTTAAAATATCCCAGCTGGGGCACTTGGATTTGTGGCTTCTCTACCAGTACTTCCCTGAAATACAGCTTCTCTAATGTCTGGCCGGAGTTTTGATACAAATTGCCAATCACTATAAAATCACCACTGCCAGCTCACATCACATTTCCTTACTTCGCTATCATCATGTAACAGAAGCCTGGGTGTATAAGCAGCTGCTAAACTGGACTTGCACAAATCTCTGAGTGGTCCTTTCTAAAAATGGCAATGTAGGAGCTTTACACAGTGATATTTAATTTCCGAGGGGTTTGGAATTTGATCTAACACTGAGTACATACTCAGTATTTGCAGATGTGGCCCAAAAATGGCTTGCTGCTTTGTGAGTACACCAAGGAGAGCCATCACACAGAGTAGTGTCATTGTTACTCTGTAGCTGTGTAGATGCCCTTTCTTGGTTGAAAACCCTAGGTAGGAAATGTTTACCTTAATTCATTTATGGTATCTTAAAGAGCCTCACTGTTTAAAAATGCTCTTCATTTATGAGCTATTATAGATACAACAAAAGGTAATATCTTCTTTCTCACAAGTTACATAAAGAACCAAAGCACATCAAAATATGAGTGAAATTTCTCATAAAACAGGTATTTTACAATTTGCTTTCCTTAAAGAAGAAAATGCTCAGCATTTGTTTCTTTAAATTAGGGCTTTCAGGAATAGTGAAAAGTTTCACTCATTTAAACTGTGATTACATTGAGTTAATAAATGGATTAAAAGCATGCTTAAATAAATTGAAATTTCTGCCTTTGGATAAACATGCTAATAGGATTTTTCCCTTTGTGCAGAGAATGAAGGCATTGCTGGGCAATAGTTGTTTTGAGACCACAAGTTAATCTTGGTCCCGTAATTAATGAATCCAGGCATAATTTGGAGAGGCATTACTCTTGCCTGTTAGCTAGAGAACTGGGTAGTACAAGCTGGCCGTGGTTTCTGAGTGCACACCTTTTCCAGGATTCCCATGGAGGCTGCCATCCATCCAGCTCAGGTTTGCCTGTGAGCCAGGCGGGCGTGAGCGTGACGTGTGCTGGCAGTGCTGAGCGCGTCCCTTAGCTCGGAGCGTGGGCAGGGACCTTGGCTTGGCCCTGCACCTGCTGCCTGGAAGGCAGCCCTGTGGGATGTGTTTGGGAAGGGGAACGCGCTCCCAAGATGTTTCGTTTGGAGAGAGAAAAAAGAAGTGAGTAGGTTACGGTTCTTTTTCTAACTGAAATGAGTGAAAGTGGGACTGGACCAAGGTGTCA